ATATTTAAATTAACTTTGCGAAATTTCCAGGAGTCCTAAAGTTTATTCGTGGAAATAAACATCCTATATTATTATTTGAGGATCATGAATACTTGGTGGCAAGAAGACTTGTGAATAAAACAGTATGGTGTTGTTCTATGGCAAGATATAAATGTAAAGGGAGATTGAGTACATCCGAAAAAACCCTAACGATATTGAACGGCGAACATAATCATCCGAGGTATATTAAAAATCATTCTGCAGACGCTATAAGTGGTGAAATTGTTGTTAAAGTTTATAAATAATGAGGGATTCTTAGATTGTTAATATAGGTCTCGTACCCAAGTAATACGGGTGTAAGTAATACACGTTCACACCCATTAAGTTAAGCGGAGTAAGTCCTAGAGATTGCATAGTGGTATCACAGTTTACTAAATAATGGTTTAGTAAACTTGGTAGTATTGAAACTGCTTACTTTACACCGGTACAAGACTTCATTCCCTTCCAGCACCCTTACGATATCTCTATGAGGAGTGTAAAAACATTTAGTTAAAAATTTTGGGATTTTGGTAAATGTGTAACGTAAATTTAACATGTTCCTTAAATCTGATCTATTGTTTTAATTTAATTGGCACTATGTATACAGGGTGTCTCACCAGGAACTGCACCAATCCATATAGGGAAAAGTACGCACCAAAAAATTTTGAAAATTTAAGGAATTACTAATGGCATTGTTGTCAATCCAACTAAAATGATTACAAGCATCTGGCATTTCCGATTATACCGGAAGTCGATACCAACTTGCTTATTTTAAAGGAAATACCCTATATATTTTAGGGTTTTCGAAAAGAGCATGCAATTCTTAGTCAAAAACATATTCTATGCCTAAACCCAACCGTTTTAGAGATATTTGACATTTTAAAAAAATTTTGACAGATGTAATAGTTTACAATAACCTTTCTAACTTTCTTCGTAAAAGATACTCATTAGCTTTTTGGCTTGCAGAAAGACCATAAGGTGAGCTACGCTTTACAGTTTAAAGAAAATCAATAATAGTATACCAAGTGTTCCATTTTTGACGCTACATTTTGTAAACGTCAAACCACTAAAACTTGCTTAATCAAGTTATGTAAAATTAAATTTCTTTTTTTTTGTGTAAGCATTGTGGGGGTTTAAATTACAACTTTTTGAAATATTTGCGATTTTCTTAGAAATTCAAGAATTTTTATTAAAAATTTTATCAAATTAGCCATGATTAGAAACAATCAGTAATGTCAGTCATTCTCTTATGTCAAAAAATGCCACCGCTTAAATTACACCCACAAAGACTTTTTGAATTTGTTTATTATTCATGGAGAACGTGATAAAGTAATATCAACAACTTGTAGTACATTTATTACTCGATATCCACAAAAAACGGAAACCGTCACCAAACACTGCAAAACGCATACTAGATATTTTAAAAACTATGGCTCTGTCAGGGGAATAATTCAAAAGCGGAAGCCTATTGTTGATGACGAAAACATAGAAATAGCAATTCTGGTATATTTCCATGCATTTCCAATTAAGTCATTAAGAAAAGCTGCTCTGGAATCGGGAGTATGAAAGGATTCAGTTTATAGAATCTTAATTAAACATAAATTTCACCCGTTTTCGTTCCAAATGGTTCAACGATTAAAAGAAACAGATTTCCTAAAAGAGAAAAATTTTGTGAATTTATTCTAATAAGGTCTGTAGGCGACGATTCTTATTTGGGAAATATTATATGGTCAGATGAAGCTAAATTTACTAAAAATGGACTTTTTAATCTACACAATTCGCATTATTGAAGTGACTCGAATCCTTATGTGTTCAGGGAGCGAAATTTTCAAAAAAGTTGTCAATTTAACGTTTACTGTGCCAAAAGAAACGATAGAGTGGTGGCATTAGAGTTTTATCAGGAAAATTTAAACAGTAAGTTATAAATTATTTCTTCAATAAAAAACATAAAAAACTTTATTTCCTATTTGTATTTCTAGAGGACTTCCAGCCAGGTACATGAACAATTTATCCTACGTTTCGTCCGAGTTTTCGGATTTTTTTCAAGGTTAAAAGCTAATATAAATTTCCTATTTTAATTTCATTGTATGGGTTGGTTTTATTCTGTTTTTCATCATTTTTTTATTTGATGGGTATGTGATGTACGTGTAGTTCGACGAGTTAGGCAGAGTAAGTTATAAAGACTTCTTCTGCTAATATGTATAGTTAATTTTTTTTGTTTTTGTTTTTTTTTTAGGTGAAAGATATCTAAATATTTAACAAAATTTGAATAATAACTATTTAAAAAATTCACCTCTTGCCGAACATAGAAGCTTTTTTTATGAGCACGACGATGCTCCCCCACATAACACGTATTTGATAAATAATTTTTTTACAAGAAACTTTTTACGATCAATGGATCGCCAATAATGGACCTTTCCTATGGCCTCCTCGCTCGCCCGATTTTCAATTTTAAATTATTTTATTTGGTGAACTATTAAAAATAAAGTTTATGGGAGCCCATTAACAACTATTGAAGATTGTATGCAGAGAGTAAGAAATGCATTTCAAAACTTATCACAGGATTCAATTAGAAGGGCTACCCATGAAGAAGTAATCCGAAGGTGCGAAAAATGTGTGGAGGTTCGAGGGCGGAATTTTGATCAACTATTAAATTAAAATGGAATCATGTTTTTAGTTGATTTTATCTTAGCTATTTTAGTTTATGCAAAGTGCCTTCAATCCAGTTAATAGGCATGTTACAGTGTTTAGTGTTAATACCGTTTTTGTGGATATCTAGTAACAAATGTACTACAAGTTCTTGATATTACTTTATCACATTCTCGATAAATAATAAACAAATTCAAAAAGTCTTCGTGGGTGTAATTTAAACGTGGTGGCATTTTTTTGACTTAAGAGAATGACTGATATTACTGATTATTTCTAACCATGGCTAATTTGATAAAATTTTTACTAAAAATTCTTGAATTTCTAAGAAAATCGCAAATATTTGAAAAAAATTGTAACTTAAACCCCCACGATGCTTATATACAAAAAAGGAATTTAATTTTACATAACTTTATGTAAAAAAATACAGGATGTTCCATTTGACTTGAGCAAGTTTTCGCGGTTTGAAGTTTACAAAACGTAACGTCAAAAATGGAACACTTGGTATACTATTATTGAATTTTTTTAAACTGTCGAGCGCAGCTCACCTTATGGTCTTTCTGCATGCCAAAAAGCAAATGCCCATCTTTTACACGAAGATAGGTTACACCTGTCAAATTTTTTTTTAAATGTCAAATATCTCTGAAATGGCTGGGTTTAGGCATAGGGTGTTTTTGACTCAGAATTTTATGCTCTTTTCGAAAACCCTAAAATTTGTAGGTTGTTCCATTTAAAATAAGCAAGTTGGTATCGACTTCCGGTATAACCGGAACTGCCAGATGCTTGTACTTATTTTAATTGGATTGACCACACTGCCGTTAGTAGGGCTGTAAATTTTCAAAATTTTCTGGTGCGTACTTTTCCTATATCGATCGATGCAGATCCTGGTGAGACACCCTGTATAAAGTAGTGTAACTTTAAATACCTTCCCCAACCCTTTCAATCATTCTAGGAGAAAAATTTGTACCTATATTTTTTATACATGTTTATACATAGCATTTCATACATTACAATGTGTTCCGTTTTTAACATTTTGACTATTTGATTTGATCCCTCTCATACCTATGTATGTATATTTTATTGGAATTGTTAACAAATTTTATAAACAATAATTGTATTTGCTACTTTATTTTCTACAGTTAATAAAGATTACTATTATTATTATTTTTGTTATTGAAACTTGTGGTTGATGGAGATAAATTTTGCTCATAATTCGTAGCAGGTTCTGTTCCCCGAGATCATATCGCATGCAATTCATGCTAAAATTTTCACACGCCCCTCGACAAGTAGACCCTGACTGTTTATGGTTCCCAAGAAGTTGAAACGAAAATACGTACAGTTTATTTCAAATTTATTTGTAAAATAAAAAACATCGGATTATTTGATCCCTTTATCGCCTTCAAAGAAACCGCCCTTTTTTCTGTTGCAAATAAGTTTGAAGTAAAGTGTAACAGCACCCTGTATAAATGACGATTTGTACACATATGTTGTTTAATTGAGCCAAATTTCAAATACGTTAGGAAAATGTGCTGTTCAGGTTCATATGAAACTAAAAATCACCCTGTGTGAAGTGATTGATGACGTTTTTGTTGCTTCTGTAGATATTCTCCAGTCTTATACTCAATAGCTTTAGTAAATTCATCAAATCGCGGTTTAACTTAGCGTCTGCTAATTAATATTCAAACGCAGCTCTGTAGCAGTTTTTTTTTAATAAACAAAGATCGTTTGTCAGTTTTTAATAAAATTTCTTAAATATTGACCTTATTTACATTTGTAGCCGAAACCCTCTTTTATAAAATCAACACGGATTGTGAACTGGATTGGTCAATAGAGCACTCGAATCAAAATGACTCCAATCAAAGATATTTTAACGCTGCAGCTACATATGTATTGCTAGAATTATATTTTGAAAGAGTAGCGCAATTTAAGGATAAAGCTGTGAAGAAGAGAGATTTATGGAAAGACATTAGTGAAGAAATGTCTAGAAATGGTTTTTCTTTTTCAGAAAATGACATAGAAAGAAAATTCAGGAATCTGAAGAGGCATTATTTGAATATAAAAGATAATAACACTAAAACTGGCAGAGGCAGACTTACATGGCCTTATTATTATAAAATGGACGCCATTTTTTTACGTATGAATGAATAAAACTAGCATCCACCTTGTATATCACTGATGGTAAGTATTAATTTTCGTAGTCATGTGAGAAATAGTTCGACTTTGTTAGTAAGTAACAGTTGATGTACTGTTGTTTTATTATATCAAATCGAGAGTATCATAAACACGTTGATGTTGGTTGTCGAAAGTTAGATATACAGGATGTTTCCGAAGTATGCGTCAATGGGATCGGTGGCGCAGTTGGCTAGCGTGCGCGAAGGCAAGTGACTAGAAATCTTCTTATCGTAGTTGCTGGTTCGAATCCCGCCACCGACACTAACAATGTCAGTTGAAATGGTTGTGTGTCCACATGTTTCTATGTGTAACCCTCTTCACGACAACTTCGGCTTTGGATTTCGGGGGTTGTTAAATTCCCGTGGTGTTTATTATTCAGGAGGCGACTTCTTGAGTTATTTCATGAAAAAAGTTCATATGAACATGTAGCCAAATTCAAAACTTTTGGAATATTGACTTCACATGGAGATATTGAGACGAAGTTTGAAATAACATTACTAGCGACGTTAATATGGAAGTTGAGCTACAAATTTGTGTCGAAATTCTCATGATTGAGAGGTTTTTTACTCTCTGATTTTCTTCACCAACGAGGCCAACTTTTCAAAAAAAAAAATACTATTATGAATTTTCATATCAATCGTGTATGGGCCGTAATGAAAAAAAGTATTCGACGAACGTATAGACTCGACTTTTTGGTGGTTTTCCTATTCAGCTCTACCTTTAGCATACACAACTCACCAACAAATTAAGCAGATTTTTCGGAAGAGGAACTGCCTGGTATGTTGAGGGATCTGCCGATAATAAATATAATTATATATATTTATGCATAATGAGAGGACCACAGTTATGGCCTCCTCGATCAGCAAATTTTAGTCATCTGGATTTTTTCTTTGAAGTCATTTAAAAACATTAATTAGCCCTTACCTACCCCTGTGAGAAACGTAGATCTTCATTTTATTTGCTATTAATGTACAGATTAATGGCGGAGATCATTTCCAGCAGTTTTTGTAAATATTCCTTTTTTTTACGTCTTATTTATAACACTGGCGTAGTTTTCCATAAAACACCTAAACCATATGCTACACTCGATGCGCATTTCGCCGACCAAATTGGCATCATCTAGAGATGATTAAAACTTACTGAACTAAACTGCATGAAACAAAAATGTTTCAATGATAATTTCTTCGAACAACATTAAAGAACAGCAACGGGTAACTCTTTTTCATGATTTATTGCTAATCTCTCCATGAACAGATTCGAAACAAAAGCAAAATTCGACTATTTCACCAGGGTTTGACTAAGATATGTGGATGATAATTTTGCAGTGTTTCATACAAAAGTCACTGATATTGACAACTTTGTTTCTAAATTAAACAGTCGTTTCGCGTCAGTTAAATTCACATGTGAAATTGAAAACGATGGACCACTATCAGTTTTAGATGTATTAATAATTAGAAACAATGAAAATAAGCTAGAATTTTAACATGTACAGAAGATACACCAGTGCTCTAAGATATACAGAAAATACACCAGTACTCTAAGATATATCCCTAAGGACTCTCACCACTGTGCTGAATAGAAAATGGCGAGTTTTAATTTTCTAGTCCATCGCTTGTTGAGCTTCCTCTCAATAAGGACATGTTTGAAAAAGATAAGGCATTGATTAAAGATGTAGTTGCGAGTAACGGATATTCTGTAAGTTTAACTGATAAAATAATTAAGAAATGTAAATTTAAAGACACCTCGAAATTCCTCTATCTTTGAAAATAAAAAAAGGAAATCCGAAATTCATCTTGAAATAAACCACAACAACTTTTAGGCAATCCAAAATACAAAACTGAAACAAACGAGAAGTTGGGTATTTATGAAATTAGTTGTAAGGACTGTAATCAAAAGTATGTTGGACAAACTAAACGATCAGTTCAAACTAGATTCAAAGAGCATATGGCTCATCTCAAATATGATAGACCAGGTCTAGTGTTGCACAGCATGCCTTTGAAAACAAATAATAAATGGATATTAGTAACTTAAAATTAATTAGAAATGTAACAAATACTAGACAGCTGGATGCATTTGAAAGCTTGGAAATCACAAACTGTAGAAATAGTTTGAATAGTGACAGAGGGCCAATCCCAAATAATCCTCTCTATTGGTTAATGAGTCACGGTTCGCCGAACCGTGACAGTAGCTTAGGTATAAATAGGATACATTGTTAGTATAAGGTTAATCTTAATCATCTCCTAATTGGTTGGCGAAACGCGCATCGAATTTCTTCTCAATATCTCAATATACGTGATCAATATTATAAAAAAAAAAAAAAATCGTGGAGATGTTTCAACACCCTATATCTAGGCAATGGTGTGATCTTGGAGGAATATTTTTCGTAAAACAACTCGAGGAATCACCTCCTCTATTATTGATACGTACTTAAGAAAGACCCTGTACTCATTTGCTGAATTTAGGTAAATTCCAACAATTTATAAAGATTGTAAACACAAAAAATGCAGGGGTAATTAGGTGTTCAGGTGTCTTTTCTAATTTGTGAAATTACTTTTCTCTATCTAGATATTTTCGATAAACCAATATTATAAACGCATTTTTCATAAATTTTACAATTTCTTGTGATCATTTTGTATTTAATTTAAAATTTAAAAAAATAGTTACCTGATTTCAGTCCAGGTGCTGTATACCCTGTACTATGAATATTCTTGACACGTTTCAAAAACCTTGTTGATTTTGAGATACGACTTTTAAATCATAACCATAAACCATATTAAAAGTTGTATTTCAAAAATGCTTTATTTATTTTAGGTACAAAATTCACCTCTTTAAAAAACAGTCGTAACCGAAACTAAGGAGAACACTCAGCTGCCTTATTTGTATGATTAATTAAAGGTACACCATATACTGAAGTTTTGTTAGAATATGGCACATGAGAATATAAGAGCAAGGCCAATAAAATTTCACAATTTAAAAAAATATACGTAAAGTCGAAACTGAATATGCAAAGGTAGATTCCGAAATAAAAACACACCATATATTAATACACAAAAAAAACTTATAAAATATGTACAAAACGTTATTTTGGGATAAGATATAGGTAATATTTTATACTCACTTTTCTTAATGCAAATTTTATTTAACAATTTATTGAGATAGTTTTAATTAGTTTTTCTAATCGATCCATACTTCTGTATATATATATATATATATATATATATATATATATATATATATATATATATATATATATATATATATATATATATATATATATATATATATATATATATATATATATATATATATATATATATATATATATATATATATATATATATATATATATATATATATATATATATATATATATATATATATATATATATATATATATATATATATATATATTGTTGTGTCTGAAAATTCGTATTTTGTAGTATAGAGGAGAATTGGCAACTACAAAGTTGACAAAGTTATGGTGGTATGTGATATGCTCACAAAACTAAATAGAATGGAGCGGTGTCCGACATAGATATGATTAGATTATTGTTGTTCTCGTGAAGAGAAAGTTTTTCAACAACGCGTTATGAGAAAACCTGGTTTTTAAATACAATTAATTAATTGCTGTTCGTACACGGTGATAATATTGTTACGTGTTTGCTATCCCCACAAACACCTACACTCGTAGATTCGTTAATTGAAAGTCCAGGTAACACTTACTCACTACTTTATTTACTAATTAACAATTAACAACAATAGATTAATCACTGTCCTAATTATAATCACAACTGAACACTTATCAGTCTCTTTCGTATTTCTTCTTTACTCGTTCACGTTCGACTTCAGACTAAGATTCGGCCCACCGTGTGTCTTATTTATACATCCGTTCACACAATCTAGGGCAGTCCAGAATATTCCCGGCCGTTCGTGTACAATTCCAGCCTAATCTAACCAGTCTGCACAGTCCAGTGGCGTAACACTGCCCCCTTCCTTAAGCCTGAACGTCCCGATCAGGCAATTCATTGTTCCCTGCATACTTGGCTAGTCTCTCTATGTGCACCACCTTCATCTTGGATTTTGAACTTTGCTGAATTCTATATACAACGTCGTTTAGTCTGGTGGCGACAGTGTAAGGTCCTTCCCAAGGATGGTAAAGCTTCAGGGATCTGTCTTTCTTTCGTTGTGGGTTATATAGCCAAACCAACTCTCCCACCTGGTACCCTCCTGAATTAGCCTTAAGATCATAACGAGCCTTCATACGGTCATTTGTTATTGTAATTCGCTCAAAAGGAGCACTGGCGTTATATTGCTTATTTCTTATTTGTGGCCCCATTCTTGCCGCGCAAACTTCACATTGGCGGCACCAAGCCTCCACATCTTGACGACTGTTTACCCAGTAGAAACGTTCTCTTACTTTAGTCAAGGTTTTGTTGATGCTAAAATGTCCGCCAGATGTTCTATTATGCACTTGCTGAAGTACATTTGCTACATGACACCTCGGGATTAACAATTTCAAAGTAACTTTCCTCCCATCTGGACTTTCCCACGCTCTCTTTAGCAGTCCATCCTCAACTATAAGGGAGTCCCATTGTGCCCATAAAGCCTTCAGCCCCACTGATTTACTTGAAATGTCCTTCCAATCGGGCCGAGTTCCTCTTTCTTTCCATTGCAGAATAGGACCAGTTTCCTTATCGTTTAACTGCGCTTCCCTTAACGACTCTTTTGTCAAATAATCCGGAACATCAATCTTAACGGTCTTCATTATTTGTACCTTTTGTTGTTCTTCCTTACGGTGGCAAGGCTTGCAATCTTTCTGACCCGGTCTTTTGGAAAGGCCATCTGCTATATTCCGCGAAGTACCAGCTCGCCAGTTTTCCTGCGGCTTCTCCATTACTGCGATCCTCTCAGGGATGCGCTGACGACAGTTACTCTGAATAAGGCCCACTCTGCCACACTTATAACAGCGCATACGTCCTCCACTCTGTCTCCCACTACTTTGCTGTTGGGTTTGTCTTGGATCTTGAATGTTGACCTCATGACAGTTCCTCTTAATATGGCCCAATCTGCCACACATATAATAACGGATGCCTCCATTCAGCCTCCCACTTCTTTGTTGTTGGTCTTATGTCTGCTGGGAGTTCGATTTTGTCAGTAGTTGGGTCATCATCTTGTATAGAACAGATATCAGGTTTTGTGTTGTGTTGTATGGCTTGTCTTCCTCCACACTCACAGCTCGTACTCTCTGATTTGATTGTGTG